TCTCAACCCTCCACTCACTCTTTTTCGATCTCACTCTGTCTCGCGCACGCATACATTACTGTGAGGGACAGTGAATGAGGAGACTCCACAGAGAGACGCCAGTTAGAGAAAAAGGAGCCGTGTACAGCACCTGTACCTTCTATGAGCAGCTCCTGCCCATGGCTACCCAGCAGCGTCCTGGACAGGAACGGAGCAAAGTCCACAAATATCTCCCTGAGCAAAGGGGCCACCTTCTCCAAAGCGCGCTCCAGCTTTGTGGTGATACTGTGGCGGAGATAATCGAGAGACAAGGATGAAAACGATAGGCGTGCCGATAACATGAGCAACATACAGATGAGGGTACAAGAGCGTTTGAGGAAAAATCTCAGGGGATATACAGTAGGCGAGAAGGGACAAATGTGAATGAAAGAAATATGTGGAGACACGTGAGAACAAGGAAGGGAGGCACAGGACGCAGGAGAAGAGAAAAAGCAGGTGAAGGAAACAGAAAAAAGTGCAAGTCGGACACAGAATGTAGAAAAAAACGATGGTGTGGTATGGAAGCAGTATGTCTGTATTAGTATTACTAGGAAAAAGATGAGTTAGAAAGGATAATTGTTAGCCGGTCAGCTTAGCACTGTGGGATGAGTGAAGGTTAAAGTGTGATAAAAACTGAACCTGAAAAACTGCCAGACTTGTCTCTTGAATGGTATACTGCGTCTTTATGTGTGTACAGCTGCATTTTAAATGCTTTTCCATTCTTTAGAAATTGAGACATGAAGAGTACAAAGCAGCAGACTCAATTATGGAGCCGCGATGGCAGTGAAGTTTATATTCCTGGCTTTGTAGGTAATGCGATCTCTGAAACAGACCTGGGTCGCTAATCTACCAATTGTGGTTTTGTTTTAACCTGCTCGGAGAACCAGATGATTTGCGAAAGCTGCGGTGAAGGTTAAAACAAGCATCTCGACTCAGGTCTGGCCTGGAGTTTGGGGTTAGTGTGAGGAGATGACCATGCCAGAAATGACAGAATTGACTCTGCTACTGAAAAATTGTTGAAGCTGTTGAGGAAGTCGGCCCTTTCTTGCATGGCATTCTGGGAACATTTAGTAGTGGTTGGGCGTGGCAGAGGGTGTGTGGTGGAGGAGGGGCAGAGGGAGGGGCATGGGGACAGGACGAGTATCTCCTTGCCTAAAACACTGTCCTGCATCTCGGGGGGCTGCCTGGAAGCCAGCCAGAGAGCTAAAAGACTTGAGCTCAGGGGGCGTCTGACCGCTGCGCAGCGCACACTGCGCCACCTCACAATAGGCACTGCAATACAAACCACACACACACACATAAAAACACACGTGCAGACATGCGCACTGATTAAGGGAGACATGCACACGCACCCACCCACTCCTGTGTGTGCGCACTTTTAGAAGAACATGTGCAGCCATGTGAAAAAAAACTTTTTACACAACTATATGGAGTCCTGTGAAAAACCTGTGAAAGTAAACCCCACGATTCACCTTACAGAGCAAAGTAATGATTTCCTGATTTCCTTATCAGTCTCTTGCATCGCTGTGTGGCGATTTTGGCCCACTCTTCTTTACAGCACTGCTTGACTTCACTGAAGATTTCAGGCATTCATTTATGCACAGCTCTCTTGAGGGCCCACCACATTTAATCAGGTTGAGGTCTGAGCTTTGATCATTTTCCTTTTCAGCCATTCTGTTGTAGATTTGCTGCTGTGCTCGGGATCATTGCCCTGCTGCATGACCCAATTTGGGCCACGCTTTATCTGACAGACAGATGGCCTCACGTTTTACTCTAAAATACTTTGGTATAACAAAAGGAGCCAAAAAGCAGGTTCTTTGGCTGAAAAACAAGCAACATTACACCACTCCACCACCGTGCTGACAAACATGGTGCTGTGCATTACAGCTAAACATCTCCACTTGATCTCGTTGTGGTTTGTTCAGCTGTGCAGCTTTGCAAACCTAAGCAGTGTTACTATGTGGAGTCTGAGATGTAGTTCTTGAGTTTTCTGCAGTTTCCCTAAGCATTGCAGTCTGACGTTGGAGTAAACTTGGGGAAGATTGCGGCATTGTGCTTAAACACACCTGAATGCTCCAGAGCAGCAAACTGCCAAAACATCTGCTTTCATAGAGATGCTCACACGTGGCGATGATCAATTAATCAGGTGCATTCGATTAGCAGCACCTGGCTGCGACTTACCTTCTTAATTCCGTGAAGGTGTACTTAGTTTTTTTCACAGGACTGCACAGATTCCTGCGAAAACTTGCTTTTACACATGACTGTATCTGCTAACATGTCTAAGTAGAGTACAACAAAAATGTTACAGTGCAAACTCCTACAATGGTAAAGGAACACTGCTAATCACGCTAACTGGTAATTAGTAAAGACCTCATGTTGCAGATGATCATAATTTTTTTAGTGACACCTATAAAGTCTGAAGACAAAACAGATTTTTGTTAATGACAAGTTCATTTACATGTTTACAAATACAAAAAAAAGACTGTTGAGCCTAAGACATTAACGGTCTTAATTAGTAAGTGGTGACGTTTTCATACAAAGTTTTCATATCAGAGGTGATGAGCATCATACTGTACGGTAAGTGAGAAGTGTCAGGGGTGTGTGTGCATGACAACATATAATATGTGTGGCTAGAAGATGATTAATATTAGCTGATATTAGCTGATGGAACGATACCTGAACCCGTCTTTTGCGGTTGATTAGTTTAGCATGTCAAATGTGGTGTGTCTTACATGAGCCTAATAAAAATGTCCACAGCCACATCAGTCCAGAAAAAACTTCATCTTACCCTATAATCCTGTAATGAACGTGTAAGTGAAGTGAGAAATCTTTAGGGAGGATGAAGGGACAGGAATGAGGCAGGAAAAAAGACAATTTAACATAAAAAACAAAAGCCGGAGACAGGGGGACAAAATAAAGTAGGATGGAACTGAACCTATGAAATGAAATGGCCAAAGGCTGTATGATGGCGAGAGTTCTGACCTCATATTCTCCATGGTGTCTTCTGGCATGGGTGCCACTGTCTGCACCGCTGGCAGATTCTTACTAGTTGCACCATTGACAAAAGATGAAGAGGAAGATGAGGATGAGGAGGCCGAATCTGCGGCACCTGGACAGGAGGGAAAATAGTAACAAGAACCAAGATTAGTATGAAGTTAACAGTAATGGTAGTAATAAAGGAACTGGACATGCTGCTGCTTGTCCTTTTGGTAATGGCCCCGGTTTGAGAAAAAAGCTTTTCAATCAATATACAGAATCCATTCCAGAGAACAAATCCCTTCCTTATCCATTATGCATGTATGATAAAGTACAATATGTTTAACAGGCTGACAAAGCCTCAAATAGAAATCCACTCTGCTGCAGTGGATCTGCTGAGCATGATTCTACTCAGAAAGGATGATCTGCAAGTCTGCTGATGTTGTCGTTATCCTAAATTTGGGTCAAGGATCATCTAATAGACAATATCTCTGTTTTTTCTGCATTCAGTATTAAGTATGAGCCATATGTGCAACGTCCACCATAAGATAAGTATCTTATAGTTGCTGCGCAGTCTGCAACTTCCTTCATCTGCCCTCATATACAAGCTAAAACTAACCCTGAAAGGATCTGCTGGTTCAGTTTGCTCTGCCTGTTAAAGGACAAAAGCGTGAAGCTTCAAAGACTTTTTGTAACAAAAGAAGAAATTCAACCCTGCTTGATTGAGCGGTTTCTGAGCTGCTTGAGGCCTTTTACACAAACACCTTTGTCATGCTGCAGTTCTCTATGTGCTCTATCTCCTTTAGCACACACACTACCAACTGAGCAAAAGTCTTTATGAGTAAAATATCGAATATATGCACGTCGAAATTACACGAGTAGGTTCAAAAAGACATGGGTGGGTTAAGCGTGCGCTACAGCTGTGTGTTCTCTCCCACCTGTGGTGTTGATCATGCTCTTGGGTGTTGCTGTTGCAGCAGCAAAAATGTTGGGTGTGCTGCCAGCTGAGGCTCCTCCGCTAGTGGTGGGCGTGCCCACAGTGTTGACTGACAGGCTGCCGGGTGGAGGCTTTTTGACTGGAACCACGACACTCCTGTGAAAGACGAAACATAAAGGCATCAGGCAAACATGTATCCATGCATTTGTTACGTCTAGACCTTGAAATAGGCTTATTGTAAAAGTACAGTGAGCGATAGTTCAGGAGACATACACCTTCTCCATTTTCAAGACTTATCTTAAAACTATGCTTTCTAATAAACCCTGTAGGTCAGGTGACCCTGAATCATCCCTAAGTTAAGCTTCTATATGCTCAGACTGTTGAGGGACATCCCATGACGCTCTGAGTGCTTCACGTCCACTACCCTCCGAATTCTCCATATATGCATATACGACCACTGCATGCGATGTGGTGCATCCCATTTGCTGTTTGCCATTTCTCTATGATCCTCTTTTCTGTTTTGTCTCCGTCCTAAACCCCAACCAGTCATGTCAGATGGCTGTCCTTCACTAAGCCCGGTTCTGTTGGAGGTCTCTTGCTGTTGAACGGGAGTTCTTCCTCCCCACTGTCGCCTAGTGCATGGTCAGACTGTCAAATCACTGGGTTTTACTGTATGCTACAGCACCAAATAAATAAAATAGAATAGAATAAACTCTTTTCCCCACGAAGATGACATTTGAAAACGTCCTTTGTAACACTAATGATGAGTTTTGACACCTCAGTATATATCAATAAAGTTAGAATAGTTTTTGAGTTTTTCCAAGGGTAGACCACCCTCACTAACTTCTTCCTATTAGGCTTTCAAGGGGTAAGTTCTTCTTCAGACAGATGTGCAAACATCAATTCAATTAAGTTGTATTTATATAGCGCCAAATCACAGCAACAGTCGCTTCAAGGTGCTTTCATATCGTAAGGCAGACCCTACAACGTGGGTAGACAACTCCAGGCCTCGAGTGCTGTGTTGGATCAAGGATCTAAAACCTGCAGGACACCGGCCCTCGAGACCTGGAGTTGCTCATCCATGCCCTATAATAATACATACAGAGAAAAAAACCCAACAATCATATGATCCCCTATTAGCAAGCACTTTGATGACAGTGGGAAGGAAAAACTCCCTTTTAACAGGAAGAAACCTCCAGCATAAGCAGGCTCAGGGAGGGGTCTTTCAATGTAGAAACTACTGTTTCTTAATTTATGTATTAACTGACCTAAGAAACAGAAAACTTTCTTTTAGCAAACTCAATTTTTCTACCTATGAATCATCATCGTTACATTTTTTTCACATTCCTTTTAGTACCAGTGAATTTCAGGGCCCAGTAATGTCCCCAAAGATATCGAGACATCCTCTCAAAGAGTAATTTCTGCTTTTTATTCATAACAGCTGACAAAAATCAGGGAGCAACAAGGACATTTATTTTTCAGATGTAGAGACTACTGGGAGCTTAGCAGCAATATTAGAGACTATTTTAAATGTCAAAGTAGGTAAAACTATTGCGAACATGCTTTTATTTATTTTTTAAACAAGTGCAGGTCTTTCTTTTGTGCAGAGATACAGACAGAGATCTGATTAATCTTCCAAAAATGTCAACATAGCAGTCAAAACTGTGAAAGGGCGAGCACGCATTTCAAAACTACTAATAATACAGATGTGATTGTTTCCTGTTTCTGTACAGGAGACATCAGCATGTCGTCAGCAACAAAACTGAAACCTTTTTTTAAACTTATCATCCCCCATCGTGTCCAAGTATCTAAATCTAAAATCCAAACTATCCTGCTATCACTGCTGATAAACAAAAATTAACATTACTGGGGTTTTTTTTTTAAAACTGAATTTTTAAACTAATGCATCCATTTTACTCAAACCACTCAGCTGCATTTGCCTTTCTTGTCTTTGTGCCATTGTAGTCACCATCAAACAAAACATATCACAGACTGCTGGCAGGGGAGCACAATGTGTGTATTTGTAAATGTTACCATCAAAAGAACTTTGTTCAAAGTGAGAATTATCCACATATGAGGCAACGATCGGTTTCTGCACCCACAGTTTTTCTAAAACTGGTACAAAGCAACTTGACAAACAGCACTACACTAAACAATGTAGTCTCTGTACCCAAAATCGTTTAACTGATGGATGTGTCAGGCTGCACCGAAGCCAATACCTCTGCTTGTTTTACGCCCCACGTAGGTTCAAAAACTGGGACTGACCTGTCGAAGGAGTGGAACTGCATGGGCAGCATGGGGTGCGTCTTCAAGGCAGGGTCTGGGTGATAGGGAGTTGGCCCAGACTCCTGTCCCAAGTCCCCTCCATCAACGGGAGCTGCCACCAGGCTCTTCAGGATTTCCTGCATTCCCGAGAGCAGCGAACGAGAGACAGAACACGATACTTATGAGGCGTATCACTAAATTTTGCTTTGAATGGTGGTTTTATTTTGTTCTTTTATCTAACATGTAAAAGTGAGTATGTTCTAATCACACATAAGCTCACTGAAAGGAGCATCTAAGCTCAGATAATCAACCAGCTGCAAATACAGGCGATAAAAGTAATAGAAAATTCACGTGACCTCTACAGTATAGGGTAAACATAAATGGATGCATACATTTTGACTGCATTAAACCAGATTTCTATTAGTTAAAATAAAACACAGTGATTTTCAAATATTTAAAGAAACTACAACAGAGATCTAACAGAGATATGTGCTGACTATTGTTTTCTCAGAATTAGGCTCATGTGGATGCTGGAATCACACGCCCACCTTGACATTGATGCCTTTGTTTGTTTGACTGATGCTGGAGATGGACGAAGGCGGGGCTTGACTAGCGTTGGGGGTGGAGCCGGGGTTATGGGGAGAATCCAAAAGGCTCTCCTGTGACCTTCTAACATCAGATGACAGACTGCATAACAGATCTGTGCCTCCTCCCCCACTTCCTCCTCCGATGTCTCTGTCTCTGTCTTTATCCGTCTCTCTCCCCACCAGGCCCAGCCCGAGTCCAAGACCCATCTCCGAACCGTTTAGCGATCCGCTCACATGGCCCTCTTCTCCAATGCCCGAGTCTGTGTGTGGAAGGCCGGCACGAGGGGAGTCATCCACAGGGGTGGGGGTCTGTTTGTCGCGGTCGGAGAAGGCTGTGGATGGATGTTCTGGAGAAATTTGGAAGAAATTTTTTTTTTTATGGATAAACAATTAAAGAAGTATATTTTCTCAGTGCAGATTGGATTATCAAGAAATTCCACAACATACTGACCTTTGATGTTCAACTGAAAAAAAAAGACTAATGCTTTAAAGCATTTTTTCAAGTAACACCCTTATTTTCTCTTTTTTTTATTTTATTGGTGTCATATTGATTCTTCTTATCAGTATCATTGTTTGGTCAAACAATGCAAACATCCAAAATCATGCTTGCATGTGGAGGATGATGGAGCAAAAGAAAAACAAAGGTCACCTGTACTGGTTGGAGAGTTAATCTCGTGGCGGATGCTTCTCCCGGATAAGCTGGTAGATCTGCCAATCTCTCGCTGGGGTTCCAAAATGTCCCGGTACTTCGAAACCATGAGAACTGAGATAAAGTAAACAACTGCCAGCGCCAGAAACTGAGCCTGCTTACTGTCATCCTGCGGCAAAACAACACACGCACACAAAGTTATTCAGCAGAGAAACACTCAGGCATCTTTTTTTTTTTTTGCTCCCTGTATCTATAACAAGACGAATACTGTATATACCAAAAATACACCCGCACGCTTACCACATCTCTGAAAACCACAGCTCGGAGACGATTAATGTCTACATCCTGGAGAAGTCTGTCTGGATCCTGCTAAATATGGAAGACAGGATATCAAAAGGTGGCGTGTCATACATATGCATGTTTCTGTGACAGTTTTAGGTGTTGCTGAATGCGTCCTCGATTCATGCATGTGCTACCTTGCTGGCGGTGGAGGCACTGTGGAGGCTGTCCTGTGACTTGCTGCTGGTTAAGGAGGACTTGCAACTCCGATCTCTCTGTCTCTGCCTGCACTCCAGGCAGTTCCTAACCGCCACACAACATACTGAACGAGACGGAGAGGTAGAGGAAAAAAAACAGGTAAGTATAGTGTAATGGAGTCGGCTTTTACATTTCAAGAAAAAACAAACAGGGGATGTCCTGAAGTCATGCATGTCGTGACTGCAGCGTGTATAAGCATTTATTTAAAGCACACATACATGCACCCATACATTACAAACAAAGAACGATTTTTATTTTGTGATGTGATCATTTCTCTGCCCTACATCAGAAATGACATTACAATATGGTGTAGCAGAAATGTAAGGTCATCCTAGAAATACTCCACTTACAATAATCTAAGAAATTAAGTAAACTGATGTGCTCTGCCAGCAATCAAATATTTCTACTTGATTATAAAACACTGAATAAGTCAATAATCAGCTAATTAACCAATCACTGGAGCTCTCAAACTGAGGAACTGCCTTCCATCTTTCCTCCTTAGAAAGGTACAGCGACAGAAAGACTCAGAGATTAAATATAAGTAATCTGGATCCACTGGAAGCACCCTGTGATGAACCTCCTACTGAGGCGGTCGTGGCCTGCTTTCACCGGCTAAAGCAGCTCACCTGGGTTTTCCACTCAAGTTCATGTTTGTTTTCTCTCTAATGAATGTTTTATTTACATAAACCTCTTGCATGGATTCCTTGTTAGTCAGCTTGAGCCAGCTTGTGAAAAATGGGGGTCATCTGGGATTGAGACCTGGGATTTGTCACAAGCTGCTAAATGATAAAAAGGTGGTCCACAACAGAGACAGCCAATTATTAGCAAGAGTTAGCCAGGACTGCCTCCAACATGGTGTAAAGGGAATCAACAATTATTTTGGAATGAAAGCTTGTTGCGGTTATTTTGCCAATTAGCAAAAAATGAATTTGTTTTTTTATTTTCAAATCTCCAGTGGTTGTCCCTCTCTTTCTCTAAGCTCTCTACCCAAGGTGCCTCCAATTCCCCAAAACCTGAATTGGCTAAGCAGATAAAAATGGATGGACTTATCTACAGTATATCTGTATAATTTAAAAATACTTATTCCAATAGCGATAAACAAAAAAGCATTTTAAACCTCAGGGAAATAAAAACTGGCATATTTTCATATGTTTAACTTTAAAACTACACATTTAATTTGAAAACTGTTCAGTAATCTTAATGCTGACATAAGTAACTTTCACTTCCAGTCATATGCAACAAGGCCATGAAGCAGTTTGTTTTATTGCACGAGCCTTCAGAAGCTGATAGTTGCCAAAACACAACAGCTGCCTTATAATTTAGCTTGACCTGGTCACCCATGCTCCTCCTGCACTTCTTCCTGCGGCCCTCGTAGTTGAGAACTGCTGGTCTCGACTAAGAATCAGCTCATCTAAACATTTTATAAACACTGAAGAGATTCAACTCGGACGCACCGAGGCGGAGGCACTGCCTCATCAGTCCTCCTGACGACATGTTCTTCTCCGCTTCAATCTCACTGAAGTTGAGGGAGCTGGCAAACACCAGCACGTCCACCATGGCCATGAGACGAGAGAGGAAAGTGACGGCCGTCTCTGAAGACATCCCCTGCGTCGCCTCGATGTTCTCCAACTCCGTCTGCGAAAGAGGGAAAACACAACACATGCTCGCCAGTTATTCAGTGAAAAACTGGCACTTAAACACAACGCACTGGATGCTCTCAGAAGTTAGGAGGGATGAAGAAATCCTGAGTTATCTTATTATTTTAACAAACAACAGAAAAAACCTTTAGAAAATATGCAGTCGCGCCTTGCAATGAGCAGGACCAAAACGGTCACGGCTGGCTGTTGCACAACAAACACGGAAGGCAACCTTGAGTGTCATGCTGGCTTAGTGAAAAACATACTTATAATGATGACGTTTGGCAACATGAGGTGTTCTACAAAACACAAAGTACAGCCTGGTGACACACATATAATGGTGACAGTGGGATTGTGGCAAAGACAGTGTGGGTTTTTAGCATTAACAGCAGTAGTGTGGACACACTTGGGCTAGCCTTGAATATCTTATGGGCCCCTTGATTTATCAAACTGTGGTGCGACTACATTGAAAATCTGAAGGCAGCATTGCAGGGGTCAAAACCAAGCGGTGTAGTTTTCTGTGTCTCTGCTTCAGTAAGCAGGACGTGCAGGGCTGTGGAGAGCTGACAGCGCAAGCATCTGGTGGCTCATCAGAGCAAGTGAGCACAGACATTTTGGGGGATAACAGACACACAAGGTGAAGACAGAAGGGCTTGGGTTGGTGCTCTTAGCTCTTCTGGTGATGATGAGAGTCTCAAGCTCTTTACGCACCTCTCCCCCTGCGCCTCCTCCCCCAGGAACAGGGGTCACCTCCTCTCCCTTTGACCCCCTCTGGGGTCCGGCTCCTCCTGCCTTCTTTAGCGTTGATACAAATGGGACAGGCTTAGCAGATGCAACCCCCAAGGACGTTTGGAAATACTCTCTCTCGTAAAATATATAAGCAGACTATATACCCCCCAAATAATCTTCTCCCTTTTGTTTCTTATTGATCCACCCTGTGGCTTTTTAGGCTTTTTCACCCCCTATATATTCACATAGTATTCTAACTGGGTTGACATACTTAATCTTTATGAACAGAGACTAAGAAATCAATAGATTTAGACAATATAAGGTAAGCAGCAGAGGAGCACAACACGCAGAAACACTATGGATGTCAGACAAGCAAGGGTTAGTGTCAGTCACAATGGTTAATAAACCAGAGCTAAGTATTAGTAGAATAGAAAAAGAGGAAGAAACTGCAAACTTACAGTGTTGGCACTACTCTTAGAATTCTGCACATGCAAAACAGACAAAAACAGAGAGAAAAAAAGACAAGAAAATACACAAAACACATGTAACACAGAGAGGAAAAGAAAGGTTAAAATGCAAAAACGCTTAAAACAATAGGCTATCAAGCTAACAAAAACGGTTAATTGAAGGGATTAGAACTAAATATTGTTAAGAAGGGTTAGGTTGACAGTTGCACATACTGGTTTAATTGGGAGTTAAATTCGTTTATAAGTCTTTTTTTTAATTTTGTCTACTGTGATTTTATAGGTTAATTCAGGGAAATAACCCTATCAAGGCACACAAGATCTGTGCTGCGAGGGGAACTAAAAAAACCACACACACATACAAAAAAAAAAAAAAAAAGTCTGTGTGGGCTTTAACGCTCCAGTAACAGGCCTGTGAAAGAGCTGTCGACCTGCAGTTTTCCCTCCTACCACAGAGGGGTGCAGAAGAGCCACTTACGGAAGGGGAGGTGGCAGCAGACAGGAGAGGCAGAATGCCTCCACAGGCAATGATGATGTTGTCCACCATCTGAGAAATGAGGTGGATCGTGTTGTGGACAAAGATGATGTTTTCATTGCTGTTCACAAAGTCCATCACCGACTTCGTGGAGTGGCTGGAAGAGAATAAAATGCAAACCGTTTGAAAGTAAGACATAGTTTCTAACAGGAAAACACAATATAGCTGTCACATGAATCAGATCTTTAGCATAATCAGTTTATTTAAAACGAGGCGTAAAATTACAAAAAATGGTCAACTAACACACACCTGGCGAACACAGCATCGAACTCACCTCCTCCACACATGCACATCTGTCTCCAGGGCAAACAGCAGGTCAGTGAGCAACCTCTGGTGCATTGGAGACCATTTGAATTCTGGGATTCGGAACATGGTCGTACGCGGGCCTGGGCTGAACTGACGCCGCTGCTCCTCTGTCATGGGCATACCCCTGAAACCCAAATCAACGCGTAGGTCCCTCTCCAACTGGGCTGCAGTGCGACCGTGGAGGGCCTGTAACAGTTGTTGAATAAGCAAGTGAAGCTCATTTGGTCTAATATAAGACTTGGCATACACGCATCGATGAAATTCAATTTCATTTAAGGTGTCAAAACTACAGGAAAAAAGCCCCCCAAAAAACACAGACGACTCTCATTGTGCATTCACTGATCGGTTGCTGAAACTTAGCTCGTGTGTGGGCAGCTTCTCAGCTTTTTGGCCGGGAAAACAGGACTGCTGCTGAACTGTTTATTTTAATCACAACACAAATCACATTGGACAGGGTAGAGAGGCAGGCTTGTGACCAGTGGCTCACTTGTTCAGTCCTTAAACTGAGAGGATAAATCTCAGTGGGGGAGGTGAAAAAGCACTTTCCCCAGCTTTCTGTGATTTTATTACCCAAAATTCCAACAAGCAAGGGTAACATAATGAGGCACTGCAGCCACTTGAAAGTCATGAGGTATTAGATGAAAGACAATAGGTATTAATGCGATTTATAAGGATGATTATACACTTTTTTTGTATTTTTATTTTAATGCATTCACATTATAATTTTTTTTAACATTTTGATAAATGCAGCGAAGGAAATAAAAAACTCATATGTGCAGGATAACACCTCATGGCAGAGTTACTTAGTTTATTTGCTGACCAGTGTGTACACAACATGTGAGGAGCTCCCTCTTAACCAGCTGAACACACTTAAACACACCTGAGTGGTTGCAGTAGTTTGGATCTTCTTTGTGTCCTTGTCTTTCCCATCATCTGACCTCTCTGTGTCAGAGGTGGTGCTGGCTGTATCTCCTCCAGTCTTAAGCCCTGCAGTCTCTCCGTCTGCACCGGCTGTGCCCTCTCCCTCTGGGAAATCTGGTCTAGAGGTTCCCTGGGTCTGGCTCTCAGCCTCAGCAATTGAGCTGATGTCAGCAAGAGGGCTTTGGATCTTGAAGGGCCCATCCTCTGGAAGTTCCCCGGTAGTGTGGCTTTGGGTCTGTGTTAAATCAGAGCCGCAGCTGGTCATGTGGGCCAGCAGGCTGAGGTCATCACTAGCGCTGGTGGTGGAGTGAGCTGGGGCTGGGCCGGATGGAGTGGGCTGATCTGGACTGGGCAGTACAAGGGGGTCTGTGGCTGCCAAAGCTGGAAGCAACTTCTCATCAACCTGGAAGGAATGAATGGGGAAAAATGGGAAAACAGTACAGCTTCAGGTTTGAGGAAAACTTAGAAACATTATTTGGGAGAGTAAAAAGGACTAAGAAGGATTAGGCAGCACAGTAATACTAATCCTACCTTACTGAAGAGAAATCCGTTGTTGCTCGGAACACTGTCTTTCTCATCCGCCAATGTGATGAGGGGACCCATGTTCCCATCATCATCCAGGCTGACTCCTGAAAGCCCGAGGTTTGTCCCCATTCCAACCCCCGAACCAGATGTGTCATCTTTAGGCGCCAGATTCCCATTTAGGTTCTGAACCACACTGCAATAAGCACTGTCCAAGAGAGAATCTACCTCAACCAGAGGTCCATTTTCCATTCCTCCCCCACCTCCTCCACCTACACTTCCACCAAGACCTTCAGGAGAGAGGTCCAGGTCATCCAGCTTTACTTCCGTGGCTTCTACTTTCTCTGCTTTAATGTCTACCAGAAGGTCATGGACCTCTACTCTCACGCCTGGACCTGCACTTTGCTCCCCAGGTGTAAGTGCTTCTCCGTTAGGTCTCTTCACCGCGCCTTCTGCGAGGAGGTTGCGTGAGTCTGCGCCGGCCCCCTCGCTGTACTCCGCCTCACTCTCAGGTGTCTGCGTCTGGGAGTTGTCATCGATCTCCAAGTTGCCATTGACGACAGGCGCAGGTGTGGCAGAGAGGCCGGAGATGGTGGAAACTGAGCCTTTCTTTCCCTTCTTCATGTTTTCCTCCTCCTGTCGCTGGTACTCCTCATACATCTTCGCCAAATACTCCTTATGGGCTTCATAGGTCACCTGTGACAGATGGTAGATTATAACTGGTAATGTTATCGGCACACAAGCACTAACAAAAGTGAATCTTCACATCAATAGCCACACGGTAGTCCAAAGGAGACTCATAGATCATTTACACCAAAGTGCAGAAAACTGGGACGCTAGCCTTCCGGGGCCATTAGACCATTACCCATAATGCCCCTTCACTTTTACCCCGAGATGAGAAAAAAGGGCGAGTTAAAGTTCTGTCACTGAACAGTGAAAAGAGAGGTGATCAGTTTCTGAAAGTGTCTCAATGCTGGGTCATTCTGGCCCTGGAAGATGTTGAAACAACACATAACAGTGGTCAAATTGCACAAATCACCAGGTTTCTGTACAGCTTATAAGCAGCTTGAATCAGAATATCAGCACCTGGAAAATCCCCATTAATATCTGCTCATTTGTAGCCAAACAGCAGACAAGAAAGTCAAGCTCAACCAGCAGTGCTGCACAACAGCTGTCATCAGTGGCAGCCCACATGAGCTTAAGCCCTATCTAAGGCTCCTATTGGACAATCTCCCATTAGCTCGCTTGCAGTTGTTACCGATCTGCAAGCCACTTTGCACTCCCCTCTACTACAGCTCCTCCTTTTTATTTGCCATTTCTGATTTTTACTAATGTCACGTTTGCTTTTATTGACACCTTCACTGCTCTTGCTCGGTCTTATTGCCAATCTCGCCATCTTTGGCATTCATGTATGTACATGGAAGGCTTTGGAAGTCCCAGGACAGAGCCATACCACCAAATATAAAATACAGCAGAAATAACATAATCGAAATAACAAGCTATACTTGTACTAAACAAAATAAGACAACTGGGAACTGTTATTGAATTGTGCATGTCCCACTCTTACCTTGGAGTGTGCTATTGAAAGGGTGTCCACCCAGACCCTCCATCCTCCCCATTCGTATTTGATGGCATGGTAGAGAAGGATCCTAAATATGTTGTACACCATCTCGGTTATTTTCTGCTCTTCTGGGTTCTTGGGGTTGATGTATCCGAGGGAGAACATCCAGTCCTGCCACACGGAGCACTGCAGCAAGCAGCTGGTGCACAAAACAGGCAGCATGTGAGATGAGCTGTAGCATGAGTTTGATTTCAAAATAAAAGCCACAGTGAGGAGCTAATGAACACGGCTGGATAAGTGCAGGTACAGTGATTTGTGTGCTTTTTACCGGCGATTCTCGCGGCTGTTACTGAAGAGTTTTATCATGTCAGAAAGAAAAAGTCTCCTGACTTCCATCAGCTCCACACTGGGACTGGAGTTCTTCAGCAAGGTGGCCACCACTTTCAGAATCACTGGGTGTGAGGTAAAAAGAAAACCAAGTAAAGGGAAGAGAAGAACAAGATGAGAGAGAAGGAGAAGCAAATACTTTTAAAGCATTTGGAATGAGATCAAGAAGTGGAAGATGGCAGCAGTGTCAGCTTCTCAATTTACGCTTTGTTGTTTGTTTACTCGCATTAAGAAAAGGCAAAACAAACAAAACACTCCATTACTGGCAGACCAAAGACCGCAGAGAGACACAGATGCGAGGTGAAGTGCTTATGCACTTACTGGGATTCTGGATCTTGACAGTGGAGTCGGGGTCTGGGTGTGGTTTGTGAACAACCTGAGTGCAGACCTGCTCAGTCAGAATCTGCACAGTTAGAAGATTGACAGCAGTCATTAAATTATAAACACACAGATCCCAACAACTCAGATCCGATGGCTTGATCCATTGTAATATTTACTGACATTCACCTACCTCGTACAGAGTATTGTAGGTGGTGATAGAGACGGTGTTGGTGTGCATCATCAGCCTCTCTCCCAGCAGCGTGAATAGGCTGTGTGTGTGCATGATCTCAACCTTTCTCCTGCAGGGAAACAAACACACACATTTGTAAAGGCTTTATGACAGTTGAAACTGACACTGATTGTCACTGACCGGGTGACGGTCTGATATTGGCAGGTGGCACCATGTGGCCCTGTCAGCGATGATGGGACCAGAGAGGATACGAATTGAATACCAACAAGAGAAATTAACAAGAGGCATTAACAATACGACGACACCATAGGAGGCAGCGGGGCAATGCTCATATGGCTGTGAATGATTAACTTTTATTAGTTACCTTGCCGGTGGGTAAAAATTGTGCTTAAAAGAGGGTTTAAACTTGAGAGGCTCAGGAATCAGGGATGAATAACTTCTGAGTATTTTACAATTGAATTAAATGAATAATGCTTGAAGCGCCTTCATATTCCTGACCAAAGCCTTTGGAGGATTTAATCACACGCGCATATACAGTCAAAATAATGAGTCACTTTAGCTACTATTGTGCCGTTTTAAATGTTATTTTCCAAAAACATATTCTCATTTAGAGAAATTGGTTTTGACATCAGCTCAAACTTCCAACTTTGTTTAATATAATGGAATAAACTCGAGGCAAAATGGCTTATAAATAAAAGCATCGTCTATATACCTGGCTGTCATAATAAGGCAAGTCTATAG